GAGACTGCGGACACAGTACAGGAGATGACCAGAGACTGCGCACATAGTACAGGAGATGACCAGAGACTGCGGACATAGTACAGGAGATGACCAGAGACTGCGGACACAGTACAGGAGATGACCAGAGACTGTGGACACAGTACAGGAGATGACCAGAGACTGTGGACACAGTGCAGGAGACGACCAGAGACTGTGGACACAGTACAGGAGACGACCAGAGACTGCGGACACAGTACAGGAGATGACCAGAGACTGTGGACACAGTACAGGGATGACCAGAGACTGCGGACACAGTACAGGGATGACCAGAGACTGTGGACAGTACAGGAGATGACTGCTGACCTTTGGGGAGGGGGTGGAGCGGGTACCCGCTCTTACTTCCGCGGAGTTGTTCTTTGGTTAGCGTCCGCTCTGCAGCGGGACCTTACCTGTTCCTCTATCCAGCCCCGCGCTGTCTTCCCGGCTTCTGTAGTGTGGGCGCTCGGCTTGACAGCCGGGTGCCAAAGTGCACATGAGCGAGAAGCGCTGCGCTTTGTGATTGGTCCGGCGGCTTCGGGGACCTGTCATGTGTCCCAGGTGCCGCCTTATCATTCACAAAGAGCACCGCTTCTTGCGCATGCGCACTTGGCACCCGGCTGTCAAGCCGAGCGCCCACACTACAGAAGCTGGGAAGACAGCGCGCCGCTGGATAGAGGAACAGGTAAGGTTCTGCTGCAGAGCTGAGCGGCCGGCCCGGTATTCTGACACGGCGGCGGTGGAAATACCAGACCGGCCGCTCCATATTCGCTCCATAAGACGCACTGACATTTTTTTTGTGGGGGGAAAAAAGTGCGTCTTATGGAGCGAGAAATACGGTAACTTTTACTTTCATTTCTGAAAAGTTGTAACCACAGCTTGATCGTTGGGCCTGAGGAAGTCACGTGGGCATCGTGATGCAACGCGTCGGTACGCATCGACAGCACTTCCGGGGCGTGGTGACGTCGTTTCCGGCGCGGACGCCATATTGAAACATCGAGAACCATGAGTATACACCCATAATATGGGAAAAAGCTGTTATTGTTTTTCTGACATGTGAGTGGGCATTTTTATTGCTTTTTTGGAAAATAAAGTTACAGGTTTACACTATGGAGGATCTCTTCTGTCTTTTAATATGATCCTATGGTGGAAACGGAGGTCTATGAGGACCTGGTAATTGGAGAGTGCCCAGGAGTATTGGGGTCACAGGCTTACCTAAGGAGGCCTTACTGGTGACGTGGCAATTTCTGCAAATACGTGGGTTTCCCACAAAGCCAGCTGGCCCTTGTGGTCAATGTATGGAGGTGAGGAGGCACTTTGGCCACTTATGGATATCATCTCACAGTTTGTGGCACCATTATCACCCCACGATTTTACCGATTGAAGTGGTTTATTTGCATTTTGCACAATACAAGCTGTTCTAATGGACTTTTAGCTGGCATGAATTGTATATATGTTGGACACTTGCACTTAAATACCAGTGGAATTGGCCTATAGGGAATCACCTATTTCATAGTTGTTTGGTCCCCCATATTGGGGATATTCTCTTTTGGGGGGGTCACTTGTGTAGTCTGTGACTGCTCACATATGTTTGTATACGTCTTATATGTTATGATGTGCTATTGATGGTTTTGTTTTTAGTTTTCACTTAGCGCTACACCATTGTTTTTAGTTTTTCGTTGGGCCAGGTTATAGCCATGGTCTGGACATTAGACCAGATATGGTGTGAAAGATAAGGCAGAAAGGTGTAAATGCAGACCTCATACAAATAACTGTTGAGTTAAGGCAAAAATAATGTACATGTATTTGATTGGATGGTCTGAAAGTGTGTCTGCCCGAAGGCTACAGTATAAAAACCCTGTTGTTATGCCAAGTGTTTGCAATCGCAACTGAGGTGACTTGAGTGCATCCACTTTCCGAGAACTCGTAGCTGTGTCCAGGTGTGACCGTTGGTATCCTGAGGGGACCCCCCAAGGAACAGGAAAAAAGACCACCTACCTACCTGCAGTCTCTTATTTTATCTTCCTGATCCTTTTTGGAAAGCTGTGAAGTTCAGCATTGTAAAGCTTCTGTCAGCCTTTCTCTCTATCTGAGCCAAGATATACAATCATGGCTGGAAACATAGTTTTTGAGACCAAGGAAATGGGGAGAGTTTGGGCTTCAACAAAATGGCGGCCTCCAGAAAGAAGAAACAGGAGCAATGTTGGAGGCAATTTACAGCACGCGCTAATTTTAGTAGCGTAGTTATTAATGTGGAATGCGTGTTCTTTTATTAATGAACATTAATTGTTAGCAAACTTTTATGCTTTTGCTTGCAGAAATACCCTTCCTTCACTCCACTTCCTTAAACTGAACCTCTCCAAAACCGAGTTTCTTGTCTTCCCCCCAGCCTGGACACCACCCCCCATTGACTTCTCTATCACATCGAATAACGCCACCATCAAACCCGCCCCGCAGGCCAGAGTACTTGGTGTCATTCTGGACTCCAACCTATCCTTCCAGCCCCAAGTCCAATCTTTAACAAACCCGTGCAGACTCCGCCTCCACAACATGCAGACTCCACCTCCGCAACATCGCCAAAATCCGCACGTTCCTAACCCCAGAAACCACTAAACAGCTCATCCACTCCCTCATCATATCACGACTCGACTACTGCAACTCCCTCCTCACTGGCCTGCCTCACCGCTGGCTATCCCCGCTTCAGTCCATCCTGAATACGGCTGCCAGACTCATCCACCTTACCAACCGCTCCATCTCCGCCACCCCCCTCTGCCAATCCCTCCACTGGCCTCCACTCAGTGTCCTCCACCCCCCTCTGCCAATCCCTCCACTGGCCTCCACTCAGTGTCCTCCACCCCCCTCTGCCAATCCCTCCACTGGCTTCCGATTGCGCAACGGATCAAATTCAAAATCCTAACGCTGACGTACAAAGCCGTCCACCATACTGCCCCGAACTACATCACCGACCTAATATCCAAGTACCCGCCCAACACGCACACTCCGCTCCTCACAAGACCTCCTCTCTAGTTCCCTGGTCTCCTCCTCCCATGCCCGCCTCCAGGACTTCTCCAGGGTGTCACCCATCCTCTGGAACTCCCTGCCCCAACCCATCAGATTATCACCTACTCTCCTCTCCTTTAGGCGCACCCTGAAAACCCATCTCTTCAGGGAAGCCTACCCCACCCCCTGCTAATTGCCAACTTCCTTCACTCTTCCTACCACCCCATCCCCCACAGCTATCTCCTCCTGTACCACCATCCCCTCCCTCCTAGATTGTAAGCTCCAAGGAGCAGGGCCCTCGATCCCCTCATGTTTTGCATTGTATTGGTATTGTTCTGTCACATGTTCTGTCCCCCTTTGTAATGTACAGCGCTGAGCCAACTATTGGCGCTTTATAAATACTGTATAATAATAATAATAATGATTTGTAGACGTATCCATGTACTTTTGGCCGTACAGCATGGCACAGCAGGTGTGGGAGGAACAAAGTATCTTCTGGCAGTTAGAACAGTTCCAGTAAATGTGTTTTTATCTCCGAATTTAGCTGTTTTAAGGCCGCGTGATTGATCTGTTTCGTTAGCGTTCCACAGAAGAACTTCTTCCTTGCTCTGCAGATAGTCAGGCTGTGATTATAATAACATTTTCATCCAGCCTTATCTCCTGTTAATACAGTCTGACTATCTCTACTTCTGCATGCACCGATGCCTCAAAGAGCAAAATCTTCATATATCCGATTATCAGGCTTTCCAGTCTGCCCACGCTGGATTTCAACTGTCACTTAGCATTTCACGTAGAGGGCCCTCTGCTCCCGTTACCGATTTTAAATCATGCGATACAGGCCTCTGCTGCCTTTAAGATACGGCCTCCAGCTTCTCCCAGTTCTCATGCCACCCTGCCAATAAATTATTCCAATTTTTCTTTTAACCACCTCCCGTCCGGCCGTTGTATATAAATGGCCGGACAGTAGCAGTGCAGGGTCAGGTGGCGGTTTATAAACGGCCTCCCCACTCCCTGCTTGTGTACGCTCCCTGGGAGCGCGCAGCACCACAATGCGGTGCCCGGTGTGTCCTCCGAACACAGTGGAACACCGATCGTCGTACGGGACCTCTCTGCGAGGTCCCGATCATGTGATCACTGATTGTCCAATCAGTGATCACATGCAGAGTAGTAAGCAATGATGTCACTTCTGACATCATGGCTTACTACGTGTGAAATCTGTGAATGATCACAGAGATCACATGGTACAGGGCTATTCACAACAGCCTTGTACCAAGTGACAAGCTGTGACCAATCACAGCTCACACAGTAGTTCTCAATGGCTGCAAGAATGCAGCCAGAGAGAAGGAGAAATGATTGCTTTTTACAGCCTTTATGGGTGTAAAAGCAATCAGTGTCAAAAAAAAAAAAAAATCTTCATCAACCCCCACAAGTAGTACAGTGTCACCATGGTGACACTATACTACTAGGGTGACAGTATGTAAAAAAAGCACCATTAATAATAATATTAAAAATAAAAATAAAAATGTAAAATAAAATGTTTAAAAATTATAATTTTTGGTTATAAACTAATTTGGTTTTTTTTTGGTTTTTTTTACTAAAAAAATAACAGAATACATTTTGGCCAACATTTATGATGACATATTATTTATTTGCAACATTTTAAAAAAACACTTTTTTTTTCAAAATTTTTGGACTTTTTCATCTACAAAGCAAAAAAAGATAAAAATCCCAGTGGTGGATAAATACCATAAAAATAAAGCTTTATCTGTCTCAAAAAAAAATGCTAAAAAATTCATATGGGTACAGTGTTGCATGACCGCGCAATTGTCATTCAAAGTGTGATAGCGCTGAAAGCTGAAAATTGGCCTGGATAGGAAGGGGGTGAAAGTGTCCGGACTGGAAGAGGGTGAAAGTGTCCGGACTGGAAGGGGGTGAAAGTGTCCGGACTGGAAGGGGGGGAAAGTGTCCGGACTGGAAGGGGGGGAAAGTGTCCGGACTGGAAGGGGGGGAAAGTGTCCGGACTGGAAGGAGGTGAAAGTGTCCGGACTGGAAGGGGGGTGAAAGTGTCCGGACTGGAAGGGGGTGAAAGTGTCCGGACTGGAAGGAGGTGAAAGTGTCCGGACTGGAAGGGGTGAAAGTGTCCGGACTGGAAGGGGTGAAAGTGTCCGGACTGGAAGGAGGTGAAAGTGTCCGGACTGGAAGGGGGGGGAAAGCGTCCGGACTGGAAGGGGGGGAAAGCGTCCGGACTGGAAGGGGGGGCAAGTGTCCGGACTGGAAGGGGGGGCAAGTGTCCGGACTGGAAGGGGGGGTGAAAGTGTCCGGACTGGAAGGGGGGGGTGAAAGTATCCGGACTGGAAGGGGGGGTGAAAGTGTCCGGACTGGAAGGGGGTGAAAGTGTCCGGACTGGAAGGGGGGTGAAAGTGTCCGGACAGGAAGGGGGGGAGAGTGTCCTGGACTGGAAGGGGGTGAAAGTGTCCGGATAGGAAGGGGGTAAAAGTGTCCGGACTGGAAGGAGGTGAAAGTGCCCGGACTGGAAGGGGGTGAAAGTGTCCGGACAGGAAGGGGTGAAAGTGTCCGGACAGGAAGGGGGTAAAAGTGTCCGGACAGGAAGGGGGTAAAAGTGTCCAGACTGGAAGGGGGTGAAAGTGTCCGGACTGGAAGGTGGGGGGAAGTGGGGGGGAAAGTGTCCGGACCGGAAGGGGTGAAAGTGTCCGGACAGTGTCCGGACAGGAAGGGGGTAAAAGTGTCCGGACTGGCAGGGGGGGGAAAGTGTCCGGACTGGAAGGGGGTGAAAGTGTCCGGACTGGAAGGGGGTAAAAGTGTCCGGACTGAAAGGGGGTAAAAGTGTTCGGTAAAAGTGTCCGGACTTGGAAGGGGGTGAAAGTTCCGGACTGGAAGTGGGGTAAAAGTGTCCGGACTGGAAGGGGGGGAAAGTGTCCGGACTGGAAGGAAAAGTGTTCGGACTGGAAGGGGGTAAAAGTGTCCGGACTGGAAGGGGGTAAAAGTGTCCGGACTGGAACTGAAAGGGTCCGGACTGAAAGGGGGTTTAAAAGTTGGACTGGAAGGGGGTAAAAGTGTCCGGACTGAAAGGGGGTAAAAGTGTCCGGACTGGAAGTGGTTAACAATATTTTTGGTGGACTGAGCCAGAACAAAAATACAAGTCCATTACCCCAACGGATTTCTAAAAAAGTAAAGGCTGATGCATTTTAAAAAGGTAAGTCGATTTAGAGACAATGCATTTTTTTTTATCATGCTCATCATCTGCTGCCACAATACAGAGGACGGCAGCTGGGCGACGAGGGCGTCTAATTGCTCCAAGTGGTAACCGCTTACATTAGTGACACTGGGAGCTCATTAACTGACCTACAAGTGGCCAGATTACCAGACTGGAAATTAACGGTCGCCACTTGAGCTTCGAACCCCCCGTTGAGTGATGGCACCAGTTTAGATTAATAATATTAATTAGGAGTGAAAATTGCTATTCCCGTTAATGGGAGGCTGAAAAGGCGAGGCGTTTTTCCCAGGCAGATGATGAAAGAGTTCTCGGTAGAAGTAACACGTCCCCGTTAATATGACTTATGGCTGCACTTTGTGGGTATTTTTAGAATTATTACCATTTAAATGGATGATTAGACTGATGCGCAGAGCGGAGCTGGAGCCAGACCCCGGCAATTTCATAAGTGTAATAAAGTGCAGGACTTGTGGGGTTGTGCTTCGCGGGCATCCCATAATCCAGTCGCCCTATCATGATAAACTGCTGATGCCATTATAATAAGAGTGCATCAGCCACCTACGCAGAGCGCGGTGTCCTTTATTCACAGATCCTGGGATTACCAGGAAACAGCTATGTTACATGAGGCCGTTTTACTATGTGTAGGGCTCCCGCCCTTTATATCAGATTCTGTGCTCATGGTTTACTAACGCTGCCCATACAATGTTCTCCAACTGAACGTTAGTTCTAAGCACATCTCTGCACATGTGTGAGACCCGGCACCTCTTTGTTGGGGGGGGGGGGGGGGTAGCTGCAAGAACCAGGGAGAGAGACCGCCAGTTGAACCTTGAACTAGGAAGTCAGAGTGACTGGCAGGATCAGGGGCGGGCTGACCATTTAGTCACTTAGGCCCAGGGTCAGTAGGGGGCCCCATGAGATGCCCTTGGTACCTTTCATGGGCTTTTTTGGGTGTGGTTTGAGTGTGGGAGAGGGACACAGGGGCCCCATGATTTCCTATTGCCCGGGGGCCCCATGAGTTGTCAGTCCGCCACTGGTTCTAAGGCTAGGTTCACATACAGTGAAGGAAATGCGTATTCCCTCCCCTGCTGATGCTGAATGTTCGCCCCCCCACACAGAAATGATCGGTCTAACAATGGAATGTTCGCCCCTCACACAGAAATGATCGGTCTAACAATGGAATGTTCGCCCCTCACACAGAAATGATCGGTCTAACAATGGAATGTTCGCCCCTCACACAGAAATGATCGGTCTAACAATGGAATGTTCGGTGTAACACCGAGAGACAGAATACAACAACAAAATTCAGCAGAAATGCGTCTAACAAATGATGACTGATCTGCATGTTCATGAGGGAAAGAAGGATTTGATCCCCTATCATTCAGCAGGATTTCTGGCTCCCAGGTGTCTCTCATACAGGTAACAAGCTGAGATTAGAAGCAGTCTCTTAAAGGGAGTGCTGCTAATCTCATTGTGTTACCTGTATAAAAGACACCTGTCCACAGGAGCAATCAAACCATCAGATTCCAAACTCTCCACCATGGCAAAGACCAAAGAGCTGTCCAAGGATGTCAGGGACAAGATGGTAGACCTACACAAGGCTGGACTGGGCTACCAAAATATGGCCAAGCAGCTTGGTGAGAAGGTGACAACAGTTGGTGCAATCATTCACAAATGGAAGAAACACAAAACAAGTGTCAGTCTCCCTAGGTCTGGTGCACCATGCAAGATCTCACCTCGTGGGGTGTCAATGATCATGAGAACAGTGAGGAATCATCCCAGAGCTACACGTGAGGATCTTGTCAATGATCTCCAGGCAGCTGGGACCACAGTCACCAAGAAAACAATTGGTAACACACTACGCCGACAAGGACTGAAATCCTGCAGTGCCTGCAAGTCCCTCTGCCAAGAAAGCCCATGTCCAGGCCCCGTCTGAAGTCTGCCAATGAACATCTGAATGATGCAGAGGAGACTGGTGGGAGTGTTGTGGTCAGAGGAGACCAAAATCCAGCTCTTTGGCATCAACTCAACTCGCCGTGTTTAGAGGAGGAGGAATGCTGCCTATGACCCCAAGAACACCATCCCAACTGTGAAACATGGTGGTGGAAACATTCTGCTTTGGGGGGTGTTTTTCTGCTAAGGGGACAGGACAACTGCACCGCACCGTGTTGTGGTCAGATGAGACCAAAATCGAGCTGTCCAATATATTCAATTAGCAATGTGATTTAAGGTAGATATTAAGGCGATAAACATATTTCTTATTTTATTTTCAATATAGTAGGTAAGTAGCTCAGGGACAGGACTTAGGAGGTGATGAAATTACAATGGGCAGGCACACATTCAAGAGACTGACTCTCACAGTGACACTGACAGCAGTGTGCAGCAGCACAGATGATGATGACACCTCCCCGACATTACATGTCCCTTCCTGAGGCACAGTGACAGTCTCTCTCCACACCAGGTGCTCCCTTCAGTCCACTCCAGTCCAAACAGCACTGACAGTCCCACTCCCGGCTTGCATTGCTCCCGTTCCGCAGACCCGCACACGAGGCTCCAGCCGCTCCGCTCAGCTCCCTTGAACTATGACATCACACGACACACTCAGGCACCACCTCTGCCAGATCTGCCCCCCCCCCCCCCCCCATTGGTGCCGAGTGTCACAGCCATATTGTTTCACTGGCAGACTTTTCCTGTCACTGGGGTTGCAAATGCTGATTATTGTCATATCTATCGCAAAACTGACCAAACATGATACCACATGTGCATGAAGACATCACAGGAGTTAGGAGAGGAAGATGGTTGGATCCATCATTTCTAATATACGTAAGAATGGACACTACCGTTCAGTGATAGTTCAGAGCAGATCTCTGTGATTACACAGACCACTCAGATAATACAACACAGACCCCCTCCCCTCAAATACCATAACACAGACCCCCTCTGTTACAACAACACTGACCACTCTCAGAGATGACAAAACATCCCCCACCTAAGACATAAGTCAGATATGACACACACAGCCCCCCCCCCCCCATCAGATAGCACAGACATCCGCAGATATTACAACACAGACCCCCCATCAGATATGATAACACAGACCCCCCTTCAGATATGATAACACAGACCCCTTCAGATATGATAACACAGACCCCCCTTCAGATATGATAACACAGACCCCTTCAGATATGATAACACAGACCCCCATCAGATATGATAACAACACACCCCCCCCCTTCAGATATGATAACACATACCCCCCTTCAGATATGATAACACAGACCCCCCCAGATATATAACACAGACCCCCCATCAGATATGATAACACAGACCCCCCTTCAGATATGATAACACAGACCCCCCTTCAGATATGATAACACAGACCCCTTCAGATATGATAAACACAGACCCCCCTTCAGATATGATAACACAGACCCCCCCTTCAGATATGATAACACAGACCCCCCATCAGATATGATAACACAGACCCCCCTTCAGATATGATAACACATATGATAACCCCCTTTCAGATATGATAACACAGACCCCCCCAGATATGATAACACAGACCCCCCTTCAGATATGATAACACATAACCCCTTCAGATATGATAACACATAACCCCCCTTCAGATATATAACACAGACACCAAGATATGATAACACAGACCCCCATCAGATATGATAACACAGAACCCCTTCAGACCCCTTCAGATATGATAACACATACCCCCCCCTTCAGATATGATAACACATACCCCCCCCCCTTCAGATATGATAACACATACCCCCCCCTTCAGATATGATAACACAGACAGACCCCCCTTCAGATATGATAACACCCCCCTTCAGATATGATAACACAGACCCCCTTCAGATATGATAACACAGACCCCCCTTCAGATATGATAACACAGACCCCCCTTCAGATATGATAACACAGACCCCCCCCCCCCTTCAATATGATAACACAGACCCCCCTTCAGATATGATAACACATACCCCCCCCCCCTTCAGATATGATAAACACAGACCCCCCCCCCCCTTCAGATATGATAACACAGACCCTCCCTTCAGATATGATAACACAGACCCCCCCCATCAGATATGATAACACAGACCCCCCTTCAGATATGATAACACATACCCCCCCCCCTTCAGATATCATAACACAGACCCCCTTCAGATATGATAACACAGACCCCCCCTTCAGATATGATAACACAGACGAGACCCCCCTTCAGATATGATAACACATACCCCCCCCCCCCCCTTCAGATATGATAACACAGACCCCCCCTTCAGATATGATAACACAGACCCCCCCCCTTCAGATATGATAACACAGACCCCCCTTCAGATATATGATAACACATACCCCCCCCCTTCAGATATGATAACACAGACCCCCCCTTCAGATATCATAACACAGACCCCCTTCAGATATGATAACACAACACAGACCCCCCATCAGATATGATATCACAACACACAGACCCCCCCCCCTTCAGATATGATAACACAGACCCCCCCCCCCATTCAAATATGATAACTCCCCCCCCTTCAGATAAGATAACACAGACCCCCCCTTCATCAGTATGATAACACAGACACAGACACAGACCCCCCAGATATGACAACGTAACACAGACCCCCACCCAATATGATAAACACAGACCCCCCCCCCTTCAGATATGACAACACAGACCCCCCCATTCAAATATGACAACACAGACCCCCCATCAAATATGACAACACAGACCTCCCCATCAAATATGACCTCCCCATCAAATATGAACACAGACCTCCCCATCAAATATGACAACACAGACCCCCCCCCCATCAAATATGATAATTAAGGCCCCCTCAGATATGACATCACAGACCTCCCCCCCTCAGATAT